GAGAGAATAACGCATTACTCATTTACAACGTTTGTAATTACCCATCTTGTTTGGCCTCTAGAGAATGTTGCCTCACGATGATACGATGTTGGCATTATTGCACTTAGTTAAGTTATTCCCACCATGCTTAGTTCATGTAGGGGTTCAAGAATAACCTCACGATGATACGATGTTGGCTATCCTCGTTGCCTACACTTACCTCATCATATGTTTATGGACTCCTCCTGAGTGTAAGCATGCACTTTGTACTCCCCCATGATAGGGTGAAGCCGGTGTACAAGTCACAAACGATTGGAGCCCACCACGGTGGAAGGCCTACGAAGAAATGTTCAAAACATCTCTCGTTTATCAACTTTAATATTCGTTTGAGGGAGTAGTTTTGGGCTACATCAAAACATTTTAATCATATTAAAAGAACATGGCCCTATCATAACTATTAGTCCAAGTTAATATGATTTAGTAGCATATAATACTCCCACTGTTTCGTTGAAACAAGCGAGACTATATGGAACTACTAACGAACGCATTGCATCCTCATATGGACTATATAGTCATATTAGGTTTTAGGATGATTATGAACCGTTTGATTTGATCCAACACGAGCCTTGTGTTGGACCTTGGGTTTAAGGTAGATAGTTGTTGATTTTAGTTACGCGTTTAATCCAATTAAACCGTTATTTCCTATTGGGCGTTGGACCCAACTATTCCAATTTGCATACATATAATCAAAGAGGAATACATGAAATAATAAGAAGGGCTTATGCCCTTTTACAACACAAATAATGGGCTTATGCCCTTTACAACAACTTGAACTAATCAAATTACATTCATATCTACATTACTTAAAACCCAAGCATTCATAATGTAAATCGGCCAATCACATAGCTCAATTATCGAGGCATTTGGTTCATAATCACCCTTTTCTCAATTAACTAAATTAACTAAGAAAGCAACTTTAAACAATTGGTTTTTGGATCCATAGAATTGATTTAAATGGAACTAAATATAATGAAAATCCAATTCTCATTAAAGAGACAAAACAATTTTTGTTCTCATTCTATTTGGGCCATTTTGCAAATACACAAACTTTTGGGCCATAATACAAATACACAAAAGTATCAAAACTTTATTTAATTGCACAAAAGCCCCCCACTAGAGGGGTGGCCGGCCATTCATAGATATATTGAGTTTTTGATACAATAAAATTTTGTAAGTGGATTTTGGTGGGTGAGATTAAAGATAGTGGGGATGGTTTGAAAAGAAAATATACCTTTGATATAATTAAAACCATTTAATCATTTCTTACCTACAAACATCATCCATTAACTAATATTCAAAAATATATCTTTAACATAATCATCACCCATCAACTAATAATCAAAACTTTATGTAAAACATAAAACTTTTGAATCAAAACTTCAAAACTTTTTGTTCTTGATAAGAACTTCAAGAAATATGAAGAACATACATGAAAACTCATAATAGCACCATGGATGTTTTCTTCCATCAAAACTCAAATTTTCACAACTCAAAAGAGGGTTATTATCCTAGGGTACTTAGGGGTTCCAAAAAGCACTTTAAAACCATTTTAACAAGCCTAACATGAACCCAAAAAATCACCCTTTGGATTTGGCCGAAATTCCCAAAACACTTGGCACCAACTTTTAGTTCCATTATTCATGCTTTAATGAAATACATCTACAACATTTGAGATGCTAAATTTTCAAGTAAAATTTATATTCAAAGCAAGAACAAAGCTTGTAACATTTACAACACTTAAATCACAAAATATGAAAAATCACAAAACCCAAAAGGATCCACCATAAACTAGGCCTAGGCTCTGATACCACTTGAAAGGAAAAATTTTGTCCTAGCTAAGAACATGTAAGAACATTTGAATACATATGCAAACTAATAACTCTTTAAAGTAGGCATGCATTCAAAAACAATTCATAAAACCCATGACTTTCAAAGCCTAGTATATGGTGAACCATAAGACTCTTTAACAAAATTAAAGAGAATAAGAATTTAGAGATTCTTTACCCTTGAAGCTCATCCTTGATTACACAAGGGATTCACCCAAGTGGAGGGCCTTCAAGTCACCTCCTTGCTCCTTGAATCTTCCTTGTGATTTCCTCCCTTTTAGTGCTCCTTTTCTTCTTTGAGGATTTGAGGATTTGTTCTCCAAAACACCAAAAGTTTAGTGTCTCTAAGTCTCCACACCAAAGATATTGTGTGAAGATGAAATGGATGACTTAGGTAAGAAAGATTGCTAGATGTTCCTCACCTAAGGTAATGAGAGAATAGGTTTCACCCAAATTCAATTAGAAACTCCTTAAGGTGAAATGGCTATAAAGATGTATTTATACCACCTCACAATGGAGTGGCAAACTTGCAATTAAGCCAAGTTCACTACCCTTAAGGTTATGGCCGGCCATTAGTTGTTATTGGGCTTAATTGCCCATTTTGTTTTAGTTGTCATACAATCTTAAACATAATGGGCCTTGTGGGCCAAAACGTTTTTGTGCCCCGAAGCCCAAAACTAACTTAAACGCCCAATACGAACGTTTCGTATAATTAATTAACTATTTAATTAATCTTGACCATTCTTCAATTAAACCATTTAATTGCTTATCCATTTCATATAATTTCTTCACTTATATCTTTACTCGGTGTACGATCCATTAGGTTCCAATTAGCGAGGTAGTGGGCGATGTTACTCATAACGATCGATTGTGAATTGAAACCACATTTCAATTCTCCCTTAAATTAGTGTTTGCTAATCTTTAGGGCTTCCACAAACCATGGGTGACGCCTAGCAGCATGTCATGGTTACCCAAGCTAAGTAGAAGTGGTTGGAGAACCTATCCAGTTACAACTACAATGCAATACGGTCCTTCTCTAATACAATACTCTTAATCACATTGTTTGAGTGATAGTTTGTTTCATGTCTACTATCCAATGTGATACTTCTTTATATGATTCAATCGAATAAGATTTGGAACATCTTCCTTAGTCATATTCATATGCTTTGGCCAAAGACTCTCGAATCATATCTTAGAGTATTCTCCTTCCATCATGGAAGGTTAGAGATCCCTTGTTGTACATTCATATGCCTACATGACTAGATAGCTTGACCCCAACAATGCCGTGGACACTCCAATGGAATGCCGTTGACATAATCAAAGATCAAGGACCTAACCATTAGACATCAATGATGCCTCAGGTCAAAGGACTACTTTGCATATTGCAACTATTGAGTTCTTACATGACATGTATGTTCGAACTCTTGTTTGATCGTAGTTCAGTGTACTCGATTACTCTTTCGAGCACCTATGTGTTTGCCTTAGTGTCCAACACCAAATGACTTGAGACTAGTTCATACTCACGCTTTGAGTCGACATAACACATACTAACCTTAGCGGATTGTCAATGCCCAATTGGCAATCCTATGGCTAGGAACGTTTTAGGAATGAACATAAGAGAAAGGTCTCGTTAATTTAACTAACTTAAATCACTTGTCTCTTAGATCAAATACATTCCTTGGATTCCCTTATTGCTTAAACACAAGATACTATAAATAGTGATTAACAATAAGCTTTGCCCTTCTATTAAACATATAAAAGTTTAACACAATAAGTATTCCAAAAAGCTATTACATCAAATGAGTGGCTTTGTGGGCATACTTCCAACAAAACAACTCATGAGTAATTGTTCTTCACTGCAGAAAGAAAAGACCATAGTTTTTGCTTGTTACCGCTACCTTCTATAACCCTTGGCCCCATTTTGTCAACAAAATTGTAACAATGGTCCCTCAATGTTAACCCAATTAGAGCGTTGGTCCCTCAACTAAAAACGCGTGACCATTAGTCCTTTAACTCATTAAAATGTACAACTATGGTTTTTTTCGTCTACTCCGTCAGAACTTCCTTCAAAATCAGTCATAGTTAAATGACCATTGTAACAATTAGGTAAATGTTGAAGAACCATTGCTCTAATTGGATTAAAATTGAGGGACCATTGCTCCAATCGGGTTAGAGTTGAGGGACCATTGCAACAATTTTCTCATTTGATTTTTCTTATTTACCTTTTGATTCAGCCTGACGTGCATGACCCGTGTCTTATTTTGACGTAAGTTCTAACAAAGTGGACGAAAATGATCACAGCTGTACATTTTGATGAGTTAAGTGACCAATGATCACATATTTTTAGTTAAGGAACTATTATTCCAGTTCAATTAAAGTTGAGGGATTATTGTTACAAATTCCTCTTTATGCTATTTACAATATTATCGCTAAGCTTCTTGCCAATCGGATCAAGGATGTCCTTCCCTCTATCGTGAGCAACTCTTAATTTGCTTTCTTCGCTGGCAGGCGAATTGGAGATGATATTATGCTTTTGAAGGAGTTTCTGAAAAATTACCATAGAAATAATGGTCTTCCTAGATGTGCCTTGCAGGTGGACATTCTGATAGCTTATGATACCTTGTTGGAAAATGGGTTACTAGGATTAGGCTGGTTCATTGTTCGATTCCATATATTGTAATAGGAATAAAAAAATAAAAAAAAATTCATAAAAAACGTTTTTAGTAATTTTAAAAACATTTTCAAACGAATTTGTACAAAATTTATATGTCATGACTAATAGTAAGCCTAATATTATTCGAAATAGATTACCAATTCTAATTGTGACGTTTGTACTATGAAATAATGTGACCCCACGAAGAGGATGGCGTCCTTTGAGAATTTGGGGTTGGGAAGCAATGCATCCAATTTTCTTTCACTTTATCCTTTTTCTTGTTAAAGAGAATACCAAATGGTTTGTGAGCAAAGCATCCAAATCTTTTTCACTTTTTTATTGTTAAAGAGAATCCAAAATGGGTTCGGAAGCAAAGCATCCCATTCTCTCACTTTGTCCTTTTCGTGTTAAAAGAGAATAAAAATACCTTACTTTAGAATCACCTCCTCTTGAGGTAATGCTCGTTAAATATTTTTTTTTTGTTTCTCTATTTATATTGTTGGAAAACTCTTATTAACCCTTCCCCATTCAAGTTATCTGCTCATATATTTGCATTGCTGAGGTAACATAATCTGTCCTTCTTGATACCATTCAATATTCATATTTTCTAGGAAATTCGTGAGTACCAATGCGAGTACCAGACACATGAGTTGTTACTGAATAAAGCATAGATTTCAGAACTTTTAATATGTCGGACAGTTGCATTGGATTGATTTACAATACAGGTACATACATACATACATATATATATATATATGCATCTTGGAAACTCTTTCTTTTCAATATTTGTTGTGTTAAGTGTTCATTTTTACCCCTGTGTGACCAAGAAACAAAAATGATGGTTTTACATTATATTTCTAGCAAATCTGTGAAGCACCAGGTTCCAGTACATATTGTTGTTGAACAAGGCATAGATTTCAGAATTTCATTTTTTTTCTCTACCAGACAGTTGCATTGGGTTAATTTACTATACAGGTATGTATGTGCTTCTTCGAAACTCCATTTCTTTTGAATATTTGTTGTTTAGGTGTTTGTCACTATATGTTATTGTGTTTTGATGTCCATCGACGTCAACTGAAATTGAGCTAACTCGCCCTTATAATCAAATATTTAATTTTCTCATCGTAATACAAAAAGTTTGAAATCGCGTTTGCTATGTGGTGGTGAAATGTAAATTATTTAAAATTTGCATACTATAAAATAATAATGAGTAAATAAATATACACATGCACTGAAACCATCATATATGACTTTACAACCTTAAAATTCAATTTTCTTTAACTAAAACTCATCATAGTATATTTTCTTAACAAAAACTCAATGACTTAACATATATATTTTATTGCTTTTCCTGCCTATATTGTTAGAAAGCTCTTATTAACTCTTCCACATTGAAGTTATCTACTCATATATTTGCATTGATGTGCATAATCTGCCCTCCTTGTGCATGCTACCATTCAACATTCAAATTTTCTAGCAAATTCGTGAAGCACCACTACCAGTACCAGACTTATGATCTGTTGCTGAACAAAGGCATATATTTCATAATTTTACTTTTACTCTGCCGCACAGTTGCATTGCGTTGATTTACGATACAGGTACGTATGTACTTCTTAAAAACTCTATTTTTTTTTCCAATATTTGTTGTTTTAGGCGTTTGTTTTTACCTTGCCTGATCAAAAAAAACAAAAGTGTGAGTTTTACATTCTAGTGCCTGCCGAATATTGTATTTCAACTGAGCTCCAACACTATAACTAGGCTCCAGCTCAACAATTTTATTGATTAGGTTTGACTTCACACAGTTTTGTACTTTCAGATGCCTAAAATACCCTTACGACAGATTAAAAACAAATGTTAATATCATGATTTCATTGCATATTAATAATAAAAGGATATGATGCTAGGGTTTTCATTTGTTTTTTTTTTTTTTCCTTTTTAAATTCCTTAGTTGCTTTTCAAATTTGCATAAATTAGGATTTTTTGTGGTTTAGTTTTTCCGTTTTCAAAATATGTGAGCATTAGTTATCAACAAAATATAAGAATGTAATATTTTTTTTTTCAAAATTATTTAATTATATTCTATATAAATATAGGTAAATTATTTTACTACATATATATATAATAACAATAAAATGTGCTTAATGTATGTAATAATAAATGCAAAATAATTACCTACAATATAAAGGATGTGATTTGGTTCAAGATTTATTTTACCTATATTTCACATATGGGTATAGGTAAATTATTTTATGTAGATTAAAGTACCTACTTAAAGATAAAAAATGTGATTTGGTTCAAGATTTAATTTACAATTATTTCACATATCTATTATACAAGTAAGGGGAATTTTGAACCAGGTGCAACATCCCTAGCATTTAGACTTTTTATTAAACTACTTTCTACAATTTTGGTGCCACTTTTTCTAAAATGTCCTCTTTCCAAAATTCAAAATTACATGAAGTGCCATTAATCCACCAATTGATTCAAAAAATAATATTTAAAGCCCCTAAATCTAGCCATCTATAAACCAAATCCAAAACAAAAAGACATATTATTAAGTTATCAATCAATGATATGTACCAAAAAAATTAAAATTATATATACCAAAACTAAAATCAAATATACCATAAACTAGAATTAAACGTACCAACACTAAAACTAAACGTGCCAATCAACGATATATACAAAACTAAACGTACCAAAAATTAAAACTAAACGTACCAATCGATAATATGAACAAAATCAAGTATGAAAACAAATAATAAACGTATCAATAATGTATACAAAATAATTCTCTCAATAAAATGTAGACATAATAATTTAAAATTTTAATTATCCACCATTTTTGTTATCTTGAAGTTAAAATTATATTTTAATTTTAGGAGAAAAAATATATATTTTTTATGAACAAATTATAACAAAGAGATAATTTGATAAATATTTTGAACGAAAAACCAAGATTATCTCCTAAAAAATGGCTCAACTAATTGAAGGACAAATTAAGAGATATGAAATTTGCCACTTAGTATTACAGTCCAGTGACATACCTCTTCACTTGTAAGTGAGAAGTCTTAAGTTCAATTCTCACCAAAGGCGAATTTGAATCACATTATTGCTAGCCTATTGTGAAGCTAAGCCCACTCTCTCCTCTCCCTTTAGTATAAATAATATCGTTTGTTCAAAAAAAAAAAAAAAAAAAAGAGATATGAAATTTTAATTTCAAAAATTACAGTAATAATTTTTAATTTGATAAATAGAGAAATATTGATGTGACCTAATGTACATAAGTTCTTTGATCAAAATCCTAAAAGGCACATATGTTATATAAAAAAAATAAAATAAAAAATAAAAAATAAAATCTTTAAATTTTAAGCGTTTAAATCTAATTAAGTTATATTCAAATGCTAAGCAACCCGGTGGGACTTTGTAGCAAGGCTTCATATCTTTACGGGTTTGAGCTAAGTGACGCTTAAGCCCTAAGGTATGAGTTATAGAAGAAAACTAACAAAGATCAACACAAAACTCAAACAAAAGATAAAGACAGAGAAGAAATTGAAAAAAAAATAAAATTTGATAAGTTATCTCGCTGGGCTGAAAAACTGTCAAAAACAGTGGGTCATGGAGAAAGGAGGCTTGAAATCTGAAACGAACCATGAGGGCTGCTGGAAAAAAATTGAAAAAAAAACTTAGAGGAGGTGTGGGGCCTATGATAACGGGATGAGGATGAATGAAAAAACAATAAAACAAAAAACATAAAGAAATTAAAAAACTAAAAAAACCTCAATATATCACGTTGTTTGTCATATCATGCAAGTATCATACAATATTGGGGACATTGTAATATTATAGAATATCTCGCAAAACGGCCTTCGCGATACAATATATATATCACGCAATCTCGCTCTATATTGAATACTTTTGTAATAATATAATACTAAAGAATTGAAGTAAAAATACATGTAATAGTTCATTTGCCACATAAGTTTATACTTGTCATGGATATTGTTTGGTAGATCTCGGTGACTGGTTTCTAACGATACTAGCTAATTGTGAAAATTTTCATAGTGAAAGAGGTCCTAATTTCAAATCCTAACTCTTCCTTTGATAAAATAAGAATGAAAATAAAATACAACTTAGATTTAAACAGGACAAAAATATCTGATTGTGAATGCTGTGTTGGGGCATTGCTTCTTTGGTTTTAGGCATTTGAGCACCTTCTTGAATGTATAATAAAACTAAAATGTGCTTAATCTATGTAATAATAAATGCAAAACCATTTACCTTGAACAGAAAGGATGTAATTTAGTTTACCTATATTTCACAGGTAGATATAGGTAAATTATTTTACTTAGATTAAAGTATCTACTTGAAGATAAAGAACATGATTTGGTTCAAGGTTTAATTTACCTATATTTCACATATATAGATACTATCCTTTTACCACACGCTAGCGCGTTTGGCAATTTGCACTTTTAGATGTTATTTTTATTTGTAATTTTATTATTATTTTTGTGGAAATATTTTTTATATTTTTATTTTTAAAAATTAAAAGAAAAAACTACCCACTACATGTGTAGTTTTATTTTGTTAACCTAGATTTTATTTTTACGAAGATTATCATTATATAATAATAAAAAGAAGAATATATATATATATATATATATATATGTGTGTGTGTGTGTGTGTGTGTTGTATCCTATAAAACTAAAATGCTTGCCAAAATAAGGAAAGAAACTAGATGAAATTTAGGATTTCATCATTACTGTAGGTATTAGTAAAGTTTGTTGATATAATTAAGATGTTTTGGCAGGATGTAAATAGTTTGTAATAAGAGGTTATTTTCTTTGTCTACATGTCAATGGATTCAGATTCCGTTTACAAGAGTTAATACCGAAACAAACAATTTCAGATGCCCTCAAACAGAAGCCACTAAGCAAGTAAAGGACAACGGGGCAAAACAACCTTCCACCTGGCCTCTGTACCAGTACTGGAGTAGCTTGCTACTTTCAATCCGAAAAGGTGTGTTTCAATTTGATATTTAAATATAGGTGGATTTTTTGTTTAAAAATTAGAATTACAAGAGTATTTATAAAGAATCCTATGTATCAACAACAATTTCAAATAATTCAAGTTCAGAAACACAATAAACAAATACAAATTTAAATATTTTACACAGTGATGATCTTATTTTAAAAGATAATTTTGATCTAGGTAGTTGATTTTTGAATTTGATAGACCCAACATTCCTAGCTTTTAGACTTTTTATTAAACTACTTTCTACAATTTTGGTGGCACGTTTATTAAAATGTCCTTTTTTTTAAAATTCAAAATTACATGAACTATCATTAATCCACCAATTTCTTCCAGAAACAACACCCAAAGCTCCTAAATCTAGCCTTCTTTAAACCAAAATTATTATTATTATTATTATTAATACTCCAAAATAAAGAGACATAATTATTAAGTTATCAATCAATGATATGTACCAAAAATTAAATTAAGCGTACCAAAAACTAAAATCAAACATACCATTAACTAAAATAAATTGTGCCAAATACTCAAACTAAACATAACAATCAATGATATGTACACATCTAAATGTACCAAAAATTAAAACTACACATACCAGTAGATAATATGAACAAAATTAAGTATGAAAACCAATAATAAACCTACCAATAATGTATACAAAATAGTTCTCTCAATAAAATGTATACATAATAATTTAAAAAAATATATAAACATCCACTATTTTTGTTATCTTGAAGGTAAAATTATATTTAAAGTTTAGGAGAAAAAATATTTTGTGCGGAAAAATTATAAAAAAGAGATAATTGGATAAATATTATGAATAAAAAACCAAGATTATCTCAAAAAAAAAAAAAATCGCTTAACTAATTAAAACCCAAATTAACAAACCAATATACAAAATTTTAATTTTGAAGATCACAATAATAATTTTTAATTTGATAAATGGAGAGATGCATGATGCGGTCTAATGCACGTAAGTGCTTTAATCAAAATCCTACAAGGCATAGATACTTGATACCCAAAAAAAAAGAAGGGAAAATTAGAATTCTCTACAGTTTTTCTATATTATTTAGATTAAGGGTGGTGCTATCTACACACCCTTCTCAATTTCGACCGTTGGATAGAATGAATTGAAGAAGATCAATGAACAAAAATTTAACAAGGGTGTATGAGAGATAAAATGGGGTGTGTGAATAGCACTACCCTAGATTAAACATCAGTGTCTTTTTAAAATTTGATTAAAGTACTTTGACCAATAGTCATCTCTATTTTTTAAAATTAAAATAATTTTTGAATTTATTATTTTATCTGCATGATGCACTTTTCCTTATTTAGTGGAGATATTATTAATTAAACTATATTTTCTCTTCTTCCAAATATGTTTTTTCGATCACTTTTTTTGTTTTTTGTTAAAAAAATCTATTGGAATAAAAGAAATTAATAAAAAAGTTCCTCGATTGTAAATGGTTTTTTTATTTATTTTCAAATAGTTGGTGATCAATATAAAAGTAATTTTTTCAATTTTTTTGTGAAATTATATATATATATATATATATTTTTTTTAAGTATAGTTGTTGACGAATTATTATTATGTACAATACATTACATATATATTATTTGCAAGTACGTTTGAATTTACAAAAATTATTAATTGGTACGTTTATTTGCAATTTCGGTAGGTTTGATTTGATACATATTGTTAATATTGGTACATTATTTTTATTTTGGTACGTTTTATTTTGTACACACTGTGTATTGGTACCTTTATATTATTATCAAGCCTATTTTCTCTTAACATACTAAAAGAAAAACTTATTTCGGTACATTTGATTTTGGAGGATTTAAAAATATTTTAAACTATTTTGGAAAAAAAAAATTTCTTAAATCATAAATAATTATTGCTAAATTGTAGCATTATTGTGAAAATAATTTTGAATCTAACCTTTTTTTTTTTTTGACAATTATCTCTAACGAAGGAGAGTGTAATCAAAATGATAGATTATAGGAAATTTGTTACAATACAATGTGCATATAGCACCAAAATAATGACAAAAAAAAAGTTTAATCAAATCACTAAAAGACATAGATGTTTGATCTAGAAAATTCAAAACTGAGGCGCATATATCAAAAGATCCCTAAAAAAAAAAAAATCCTAAAAGGCACATATGTTTGATTAAAAATAAATAATAAAAAAAAATAAAAAAATAAAACCTTTAAATTGTAGGCGTTTAATTCTAACTAAGCCTATATTGTCAAAAACAGTGGGCGATGGAGGAAGGAGGCTTGAAATTTGAAACGAACAATGAGGGCTGCTAAAAAATCCTGAGGTGTGAGGTCTACGGTAACGCCATGAGGAATGAAAAAACAATAGAAAAAAAAAATATAAAGAAATAAAAGTTAAAACAACGCTACGATATATCAAATTACTTATCATATCATAATATCTTAAAATATTGGGGATATCGTGATATTATAGGATATCTCGCAAAACAGTTTTCGTGATGCGATATATCACGCTAAAGTACGCAATCTTGCACAATATTTAATACTTTTGTAATAATATGGTACTAAATAACTGAAGTAAACATACATGTAATAGTTCATTAGTCACATAAGTCTATGCATGTCCTGGATATTTTTTTATAGATCTTTGTAACTCGTTTTGAACAATACTAGCTAATTGTTCGTCAAGTGTGAAATTTTTTTAAGTAGTGAAAGAGGTTCTAAATTCGAATCTCAGCTGCTCCTTTAATAAAATAAAAATAAAAATAAAATACAACTTAGATTTAAACAGGACAAAAATATATGATTATTAATGTTGTGTTGGGGTGCTTCTTTGGTTTAGGCATTAGAGAACTGAGCGCGAGACATACAAAAGACACCAGCAAAGAGGATCACTCCAGCCATAGTCTTTGATTTCAGAAGGAAATGGAAATTATAATTGCAATTGCCTCAAAAATTGGAGAATGCTTGGTCACACCAATAGGAACAGAGTTTGGCTATTTGATTCATTACCATTCCAACCTTGAAAGTCTTAGGGGTGAGATAAAAAAGCTTTTTGACAACAGAGATGGAGTGCAGCGATTGGTAAATGCTGCCAAAAGGAACGGTGAAATCATCAAACCTGATGTTCAGAGTTGGCTAAAGAATGTGAACGACGACCTGGTCAAAAAAGTGTTGCAGTTTGAGGAAATTAGCAAGAAAAGGCGATGTGTGTATCGATGGAGCTTGAGTCGGAGAGCCTATAAGATTACACAACATGTTCTTCAGCTCCAAAACGAAGGAAGATTTGAAAATGTTGCCCATCCTACACCTCCACCAGAGATATGGTCAACATTCAAGAAACGTTTTCAGGATTTTAAGTCCAGAATGGCAAACATGAATGAGGTGATAGAGGGTTTGAAGAGGGAAGAAGTACGAATGATCGGGATTTGTGGAATGGGGGGTGTGGGTAAAACCACAATGGTGAAAAAAATCATCGTAAGATTGGCAAACCTAGACTTGTTTGATAAAATTGTAATGGCAACTGTGTCTCAAAGTCCAAGTATTAGGCTGATCCAGTCGGAAATTGCGGACAAAATAGGTTTGAAATTTGAGGAGGAATCCGAGCCCGGAAGAGCACTAAAGCTACATGGAAGACTCATGGAAATAAAAACGATCCTGATTGTATTAGATGATGTCTGGACAGAGCCTGATTTTGAGGCTATTGGACTCCCTTCTGCAGATGCTCATAAAGGGTGCAAAGTTTTGTTGACATCACGAGATTGGGAAGTCTGCAACAGGATGGGAAGTCAACCAATTATTGCAGTCCCGACTTTAACAACAGAAGAATCATGGGAGCTCTTTCGAGAAATGGTAGATGAATCCTTCAATGATCCTGATTTACGTTCCATTGCAAAAGAAGTCGTGAAGGAATGTGGAGGTTTACCTATTGCAATTGTAACTGCTGGAAAAGCCTTAGAAAAGAAAAACAAGCGTGAATGGGATGATGCCCTTAATCAGCTGCGAAATTCTACCCCAGTGAACATCCCTGGAGTGAATGACAAAGTTTATTCTAGCATAAAATTGAGTTATGATAGATTGGAGAGTGATGAAGCCAGGTCATGTCTTTTACTTTGTTGTTTATTTCCAGAAGATTATGATATTCCAATTGAGTATTTGGTTCGATATGGGTGGGGTCGACGATATTTTAGCAACTGCTCTACTTTGGAAGATGCAAGAAATAGAGTGCATTCTTTGGTTGACCAACTAAAAAGAAGGTTTTTGTTGCTAGATAGTTACGTGAGCGAGGCTACGAAAATGCATGATGTAGTTCGCGATGTTGCCATATCAATTGCTTCAAGGGATTCACATGGATTTTTGATAAGAAGTCATGCTGAAAATAAAGGGTGGTCAAATTTATCTACATATGACCATTACACTACAATCTCACTTGTTGGCGAATTGGAGATTCCAGTTGGTTTGAAATGCCCAAAACTTGAGCTTCTACAGATGATGAAAGGCCGTTTTTCAGAAGGTAGCATGGACATCATTTGTGATGCGATGAAAGAACTGAAGGTTTTAGCTTTGGTGGAAATGGAAGTCCTAGGCTCATCAAGATCACTAGGACTACTGAAGAACCTGCGGACCTTGTGGCTAGATGGGTCTCACTTTTATGGCATGTCTACTGATGTTATTGGGAGTTTGGAGAATTTAGAAATCCTCAGCTTTCGGGATTGTTTTTACATGTGTGAGTTGCCGAGGGAAATTGGACGACTTAAACAGTTGAGGTTGTTAGATACGACAAACTGCGGGAACCTTGAGGTGATTCCACACGGTATCTTCTCCAGCTTATGTAGACTCGAAGAGTTGTATATGATGGGTAGCTTTGATAAATGGGACCTTGGAACAGGAAGAGAAGATAAGAGGATGGCAAGCATTTCTGAGGTGATGTCTCTGTCTCATCATTTGAAGGTTCTATCCATACAGATACCCAGTGTCATCCACTTGTTGCCAAAAGACATAGTCTTGAAAAGCCCAACAATAAAATTCCGTATATGCTTGGGAACTGGGGCAGAGGGATTTTGTGAGATGATCGATAGACGTGCTGAAAGTGATGCAAGGAAGTTGATGATGATGACAACTTATGCGTTCGAAAATTGTTTGGTGATTGTTGAAAGTGATGCAAGGGAGTTGATGGAGAGTCGAGCAGTTGGACTTATGTTGAAAAAATCTAAAAAATTGGCTTTGGGCAATGTTAAGAATTTCTCTGCCCTCGCTGAATTAGACGAAGAGGGATTTCAAGATCTGAAAGTTTTGTATCTTGATCATTGTCCAAATATCGAGTATCTTGTAAATGGAACAAGTGCACTCTTTCCTCGCATACAATCAGCTAGTCAGCTTCCAAATAGCTTTTTGACCAACCTAAGATTCCTTCGATTGTCAGATTGTGGTGTTTTAAAGTATGCCTTTTCACTATCAGTAGTGAGAAACTTGGTACAACTCGAGGAATTAGATATTGGTGGATGTGATCAAATGGAAGAAATTGTGTCGAAGCAGGGGAGGGAACTCGATGAGGAAGCCGATATGATATCTTTTCATAAATTAACCAATTTGAATCTCTTGGGTCTACAGAATTTGGTTGGTTTCTTCCAAGCTAACAAGATATACTCCAACCAAGAGGTATGTCCCACTCTCCAATCTCTATGATACGAGGAGGCAGCCGATATGTGGAAATTTGAAATTCTTACGAAATGCTTAAGTTGGTGCATAATTTTTCTTTAACTGATAATGATTTTTCTTTTTCAGGAAACAACGCCAAGTGTTGAGCATCAATCTGCAGGAATATTTGAAAAAGCAATATTTCCATCAAAGTGCATTTCATGGTTTCCACGTTTAGAAGAGGTAGTATTGTTTTATATGAAGTTTGAAGGCGTGCTATTTGATCTGAAAATCCATATAGTTATGGATGTCCAGACAGCTCCAACATGTCCCCAGTTACGTAAGTTGAAGATATGCTATTGTTCGTTTACACAATTGTGGAAAAACATTCCGTCTGGATTTCAGGGCTTCCAAAATTTGAGATATTTGGAATTGAGACGTTGTTATGGTCTAGAATATGTGTTCTCGCATTTAATTGCCCGAGAACTTTTGAATCTTGAAAAGGTAAAGATATCAGAATGTTGGGACATGGAAACTATAGTCAGAATCCCAGAGGAAAATGAAGAAGAGGCGACAAAATACATGATTTTGTTTCCGAAACTGAATAGATTTGAACTAAAATGCCTGCCTCGTCTCACAAGTCTTTGTCCAGAGGGATCTACATTTCAATGGTCATCCACAAAAAATATGCACGTGTACGGATGTGAAAAATTGAAGACATTGGGTGCTGTAATTCCACAAAGAAAGAAGTTGGAGAATAAGTCTGAGAAGGATTCAACAAGTCATGATTTCAGCACCTCCCCAACACGTTCATCAAATTGGTGCCCTGATGGATGTGGATGCATACCGTATTCAAGACCAAACGCCCAACGCCCCATTGAAATATTGCCACGTCCAATTAATCAGGAGGTAAGCTTTTAAATCAGGTTCAATTAACCTCTATAATTACAACTTTTAATTAGTATTGTATCATCTTGTTGATCGTGTTTAATTTTCTAGGTTACACCAACTAATCTGGAGGACTCAAATGATGATGATAATCTCGAAAATCTTTTTGTAATTGACTGTAATTCAATGGAAGTGATTTTCCAACTCAAGGGACCGGAGCATGAAGAAAGTAGTCACTCTGTTGAAGCATTCAAAAAATTGAGGTACTTGGGGTTACATACGTTGCCAAGTTTAACGTGTGTTTGGGAGACGGGTACTTCACAACCGATGTTCACAGGAAGCAGCTTCGGAAACTTGAAATCGCTGGAGGTCGATTGGTGCAACCGGTTGAAATACTTGTTTTCTTTGTCCATAGTCAACCTTCTTGTGAGTGTAGAGGACATAAAAGTTGGGAAGTGTGAGCAGATGGAAGAAATCGTTGCCGCAGAAGAAGAAACAGCTGAAATAATTACATTACCTAAATTGAAGTCCATCAAGCTTGAAAGTCTGCCAAAACTCAAGTATTTTTGTGGTGAAGCTTATACTTTGAAGTTGCCGTCTTTGGAGTTATTGGAGGTTATTAATGTGCAAGACTCAAGGCCATTTGATTCTAAGCTTGTTGACACGCATAATCCCCGATTGCAAGTAAAACCCGCATTTCGACAGGAATGGACAAGGTATGCTTTAGATTAATGTTTCTAATTTGCAATCACTTTTGTGTCCACCTGGAAGACCGCATCATCAATATACAACCACTGATATGCTTTACTTTAAAGTTTCTAATTTTCAATCACTTATGTGTGCGTATTTAAAGATGATATATTTTTTTTTTTTTAACATCTCACTTTTAAATCTTGATGTATATGTGGAATTTCTAAAGTTTTTACAGAAGACTATATAATAGCATACATATATTAATGTATATGTGTGTGTGTGTGTGTGTATGCGAGTATGTGCACACTAACGTGTATTTATATATATATATATATATATATATATATATATATATATATATATATTAGAAAAGTCAATTATATCTCAAGAAAACATCGTCTTTTATTTCTAATACAGTGAGGATGACGATGACGAAATCGAAGGCAAGGATGAAGATGACGAAACCAACAGGAAGGACGAACACAATTGATTGATCAAGCACAAAGGTTAGCATGTTTCCATCTCCAACTTATCTATATAGCACTCAAAAAATATTCTACCATGTTTTATATAATATATACATACATGTATAGCACTTGAAAATTTGAACAGTTTGGATCTAAAACCACAATCTGCTACCTGATTCATTTTTCCGAGGTAGCTAATAGCAGTTAAGGTGTGAGGAAGAAGCATTTCAGATTACCAACTGCCTCAAGAGAAACCTTATCAGAAACACATATACAATAAACATAACCGTAGTGCTAAGTGGCTTAAAAATTAATTGAGTCCTTAACCAGCTATTTTTGGAAACACATATACAATAAGCATAAGCGTTTCAACTTATTCCAATTTCAGTGATTTCTAATATTCTCCAATGCATGCAGGAAAAGAGTTTAAAGAACGTTGTGGCTACAGCAATTCGTTTACTATATCATATGTACAAACCAATAAAAGGACATTTGTTGCACCAGAATTTCATTCCAAAAATACTATTTACGTTGCTTATTTTATGTACCATAAATTTCGATTGCGATTATTACTGTTTGTTTCTAAATTCGCATCATTTGTGTTTTGCTTATTTGTGCTCGAGTTCTTGTATTGCCATTTATAATGATAATTTGGAAATGTTGTCTCTAGCTACCAATATTTGCATTTCAATTCATAATGCTAAAAATTCCGTGATACCATACATGTGTAAGTTGAATGACATGTCTGTAGAATGGAAAGCTGAATATACTGCAATGTTGATCACTTACATTACATATAAGTTGAACAATATTATGATACACTAGCTAGCCGTAACTAATGAAAGCTGAATAATACGAACATACACTACAAGGTCCGCTATTAATTCATAAAATCTGGTTTTCTCCTAAACGTAACGGAAATCATATTTATCTAGGCATGCTTAATATTTGATAAAGAAAAAACATTTCTTAAATAAATGTCCACTCACACCTCAGGCTAGCTCTCCCTCCACATTAAGTCTTAAACAAGGAATTCAAAACCAAAGCTACTGGACAGCAGGCAATTCAAAACCAAAGCAAGCTGCTGAATACAACTACAATAAACAAGGAATCAGGCTAAGCTATTGCCTTCATCATAACATGATTTTGGCCCCCATTTTCTAATTTCCTACCACATTTTCACATTCTTTCCATGAATTTTATAATTCCTACGCAAAAGAGTTCAATCCCACATCATGCTATAGACATGCTTCAACTATCAACCGGGAACGTAATCGTTAGGGATTTCAACAACTTCACAGGTACAAAAATTACCATAAGTCTCATCTCCGACATTCACACACAAAATCGAATAAAATTCGAAATCAAGAATCAATCCCAAAACTGAAAGTTGAAAATTTGGAAAAAGAACTTACATTGGAGAACAGCCCACGAGAAGAGGATCATTTCTACCTCTTGGGTCGAGGTCAAATTCCGGCGATATTGGCCGGAAATTGGCCGGAAATTGGCCGGAAAACCCTGGGTCACCGTTTCTTAAATTTGAAGTTGAGGAAAATCGCCTACGAATTTATAGAAACTAACTTGGGGATTGGATAAAGGACGGCAAGAGCATTCTGGGTGTGTAGTTTGAGAGCCTTTGGTGACCCGTGGACGACAGAGCTGTTGTGTCCACTTGGCACTCGGCAGTCGTCGGCTTGCTGTTTAATTGGGCTCCTGTTGCAGTGCAAAAGAGGAGGAGGGAGGAGGGAGGAGGAAAGAAAATGGGTTTCTACCACTTTTTACATCTTAATTCTTCTTCTTTTTTTCTTTTTTTGTTGCTGGAATAAATAATATTATCTATCATCAAAAGTACGTTTAGTATGTGAGAAGAGACAGAACATGTTTTGATAATAATAATAATGGCTAGATGTAATATAATTCAAATTCGCATGTAATGATAATCGAATATAAGATTTTCCACATACAATTTACGAATAAGAAGAATACCATTAATTTTTTTTTCACTTTTAATACACATCTAAATAAAAAGAAACAAAATGAAAAGGAAAAGAAATAAAATAATTTGAAATATAAATGAAAAATAAAGGTAAACTGACAGCATAAGGTAATCAATCATGGTAATACAAAATTATTATACTATCCTTAAACTTTGTAGTGTCGTAGAATCTTTATTTTAGTTCTGAAATTCGTTCTGCTTATGCTCACGCGTTCATATTGATGAGCACTACAAGAAAATATTAAGATGATAGGTCATATGAACGTTTTCCCTGAGAATGTTTTTGATGGATTTTGCAATATGGCAACCATGATTTGCAGAGCCCACCATTGCAGAGCTCGGTATCGGCCTGACTTATGGAGCCACCATCGCAAAGAAAAAGAACCTAGAAAGCTCAATCCTTGTCCTTTTCTTTTATAAATGTTGTTTTAGTGAACCGAATGTTCCGATTCCAACATCCAAAATACCACAATGTGAATGTTTTTCATACTACAATTGGATTGTGTCTTAGAATTATCAAGTTTTGGAGCATTGATTACGCCATCATGCTGCTTTGTGTTGGATTTCGTTAGAGATGGTAATTAATCAATCACCCCTTCTGTGTCTCCCTTCAAAAGCTCAAATTGAAACCTAAACTCCCTAGCAAATAAGAGCCCAATTTGACAACCAAAATCTTCATCGTTCGAGCATCAATGTTCTCTTAAATTCGCTATGAGCAAACCGCCATGAAATCTCCTTCATGGACATCTCATAAAATTAGAACGATACAAAGAAGATTAGTGTGATTTCTACACTAGGATTACACGTATGAATCGCAAAATAGTTCCTCCTCCACTCTTTGATTCTCTCTTTCATTGGCTAACAATATTTTACTCTACCTTTTCATCCTAAGTAAGAAATGAGCATTTGTCAACATCTTTCTGAAAATTTCACATTTGACCTTAATTTATCTATTTAGCACTATTTGACCAAATGACAAATTTTGATTGTCTAAATATTTATATCAAACTACAAATAATATTGATATTATATATTTATAATGTGACTGGATTTGTAGTACCCAACATCTCTATCTTGAAATAAATTTTGTTGTCTATGAAGTGGCCAACTTGACCCTCTCTTATACTCTTTAATCCGGTCCATTTTGAGTTTGTGTAAATATATCATTGTTTAACAATTGACATTTAGTATTGCGATTTAATAGTATTCATTCTTAGGTTCGAATCTTAGGAGTGACGAGTTTATGTAAATATATCATTGTATTAAAGAAAAATAAAAAGATGTTTTTTTTCTTTTTGGTTAAACAAAAACACGAAAATGCCTTTAAGCCCAAAGTGCCCCCCTACCCTGTCGCTGCCCACAAAGTTCCTTCCTCGCCCTTGTTTCCCTCCCTTTCTCCCTCTCAGACGTTTGAGGACTCCAAAACTCCCTCTCTCTCACTCTTTGCTTCCTCAGTAAATTTAATCCAATGGATTTTTTGTGTACCCTTGCAGTAATACAGGAAGACTTTTGTAGTATTTCTGATTGTTGGATGATACTGGAATAATTATTAGGATTTTGAAGAATTTTTGGTTCGTATGATATATGTGCTAAAAGACCCAAAATTTTGAAGTGGAGTGGCCATGGAAGGTGCTTGAAAAGAAAATCATCTAATGAGTCAATGGAGTCGTCATTGTCTCCAAAAGAGAATGACAAAAGCTCGAAACAAGCTTGCGTCGAAATCAACTTGGTAGAGTCCCTTGCTACGCACTTGAATTTGGGATTACCATCCCAATGTTCGAGTTCGAGAGCAAGTTCGAAGAGCATATATACAAAAGGGTCATTTTCTGACTCGAGACCATGACTTTCCCAACAAGAATATTAGTGGGGGTCCGAGAAGGTTTATTTCTGCTTGGTTTAATGAGCTTCCGACTTGGTTGGAATATACTATAGCAAAAGATGCTTTGTATTTCTGTGGTGATTGCTTTGTTAGTAAAGGGTTTTCTAATTGGAAGAAGGAAAGGTTGCAGGGTCATGTTGGAGGACGGAATAGCATCCTCAACCAAGCTTGGAGAACCTATGATGCTTTATTAAAGCAACACCAAGCACTAAAGGAATGTAACACTCTTTTGGATGTATCAATTGTTTGTATGAGGTTTCTTTTGCATCAAGGGCATCAAGGCCTTATATATTGCAGAGGCGATGAATATTAAGGTTCAAACAAGGAAGGAGTTTTTCTTGGACTCAGGAACTTCCAATGTGATAATCACGAGGAGTTAAAAGCCATCACATTGAGAAATCCTCCCTTAGGTCTAAAGTTGACTTCACCTGATACTCAGGACGTCATAACTGCTTTTTCAATGGAAATCATCAATGCAATCGTTAAAGATATTGGTGGTTCACACTTTTTCCGTTCCTATCGATGAGCTTCATGACATGTCTTCAATTAAGCAATTGGTTATTGTAATACATTTTGTGGATAAAGGTCATGTGATCGAGCCTTTTTTATGTGTTGTACAAACCATTGATAATACTGCTGACTCACTTAAGGTGGCTATTGATGATTTCTTTTCTACCCATGGATTAAGCATGTCAAGGCTAGGGAGCAAGGTTATGGTGCGACAAGTAATATGCTTGGTGAGTTATTAAGACACTTACAATGATTGAGAATGAGTGTGCATTTTACATTCGTTACTTTGCTCACGGCAGTGAAAGACCCGAAATGCCCACGTCCTCACGGAGATGTTGTCAGCGTTCTCCAACGAGGATGTACTTGTCTCGCTTGAGGACGAGCGAGTGCTCCAGATAACTGTTCGTCATCCAAATCACCCACAAGAAAGGCTGCTTGCTGTTGGCCAGACCCAATGCCATTTTAGCTAGTTTTTACTATCCATGAATGCTGTACTTCCTAAGCTTACATAGATGACAGAGTTGTGTGCTTGTTTATGAAGCCATGACATACAACTCTGGTCCTCTTTCAGCAAGCTTGTAGACGGGGATGAAACAGTTTTGTACTCCTTCTGAAGCCGTTCTAGCAATGATTGTTCAAGGCCATCCCGGTGTTCCAAATGAAATGATGGCCGAAGATGACCTTGAATCATGTGCTTTCACTAGTAGTTGCAGTAAGCAGACCAAGCCTCTGACATCTTACTTTGGAAGATGCAAGAAATAGAGTGCATTCTTTGGTTGACCAACTAAAAAGAAGGTTTTTGTTACTAGATGGTGGCAGGAGTGAGACCACAAAAATGCATGACATAGTTCGCGATGTTGCCATATCAATTGCTTCAAGAGATTCACATGGATTTTTGATAAGAAGTCATGCTGAAAATAAAGGGTGGTCAAATTTATCTACATATGACCATTACACTACAATCTCACTTGTTGGCGAATTGGAGATTCCCGTTGGTTTGAAATGCCCAAAACTTGAGCTTCTACAGACAATGAAAGGACGTTTTTCAGAAGGTAGCATGGACATCATTTGTAATGAGATGAAAGAACTGAAGGTTTTAGCTTTGGTGGAAATGGAAGTACTAGGCTCATCAAGATCACTAGGAGTACTGAAGAACCTGCGGACCTTGTGCCTAGATGGGTCTCACTTTTATGGCATGTCTACTGATGTTATTGGGAGTTTGGAGAATTTAGAAATCCTCAGCTTTCGGGATTGTTATTTCATGCATGAGTTGCCGAGGGAAATTGGACGACTTAAACGGTTGAGGTTGTTAGATACGACAAACTGCAAGAATCTTAAGGTGATTCCACATGGTATCTTCTCCAGCTTATGTAGACTTGAAGAGTTGTATATGATGGGTAGCTTTGATCAATGGGACCTTGGAACAGGAAGAGAAGATAAGAGGATGGCAAGCATTTCTGAGGTGATGTCTCTGTCTGATCATTTGAAGGTTCTATCCATAGAAATACCCCCCCAATGTCATCCACTTGTTGCCAAAAGACATAGTCTTGAAACGCCCAACAATAAAATTCCATATATACTTTGGAACAAGGGAGTCGTTCGATGGACATGCTGCAAGGAAGTTGATGATGACAACTTATGCGTTCGAAAATTGTTTGGTGATTGATGACAGTGGTGCAAGGGAGTTGATGGAGAGTCAAGCAGTTAGACTTATGTTGAAAAAATTTAAAAAATTGGCTTTGAGCAATGTTAAGAATTTCTCTACCCTCACCGATTTAGACGAAGAGGGATTTCAAGATTTGAAAGTTTTGTATCTTTATGATTGTCCAAATATCGAGTATCTTGTAAATGCAACAAGTGCACTCTTTCCTCGCATACAATCAGTTAGTCAGCTTCCAAATAGCTTTTTGACCAACCTAAGATTCCTTGAATTGTCATGTTGTGATGTCTTAAAATACGCCTTTTCACTATCAGCAGTGAGAAACTTGGTACAACTCCAGGGATTAGATATTGGTGGATGTGATCAAATGGAAGAAATTGTGTCGAAGCAGGGGAGGGAACACGATGAGGAAGCCGATATGATATCTTTCTATAAATTAACCAATTTGAATCTCTGGGGTCTATGGAGTTTGGTTGGTTTCTTCCAAGCTAACAAGCTATACTCCAACCAAGAGGTATGTCCCACTCTCCAATCTCTATGATATGTGGAAATTTGAAATTGTTTAACTGATAATGATTTTTCTTTTAGCATCAATGTGCAGGAATATTTGAAAAAGCAATATTTCCATCGAAGTGCATTTCATGGTTTCCAAGTTTAGAAGAGGTAGAGTTGTCTGAAATGGAGTTTGAAGGCGTGCTATTTGATCTGAAAATCCATATAGTTATGGATGGGCAGACAGCTCCAACATGTCCCCAGTTACGTAAGTTGAAGATATACGATTGTACGTTTACACACTTGTGGAAAAACATTCCGTCTGCATTCCAGGGCTTCCAAAATTTGAGATATTTGAAATTGACATCTTGTTCTGGAATAAATTATGTGTTCTCGCATTTAATTGCCCGAGAACTTTTGAATCTTGAAAAGGTAAAGATATCAGGATGTTGGG